CGTGGGCTGGAGAGAGAAAAACAAGCAGGGTGGGACTGATGGGCTGGAGCTGGAATGGGACAATGAACTCCAAGGTGCCAATGGAGCAGAACTGATCCCAGGGAGAGCCCCGGGAGCGCTCGTGCATTTTGGGACCATTTTGGGTCATTTGGGTTCATTTTGGGACCATTTTGGTTCATCTTGGGTTCATTTTGGGACCATTTTGGGTCATTTGGGTTCATTTTGGGACCATTTTGGGTCATCTTGGGTTCATTTTGGGACCATTTTGGTTCATCTTGGGTTCATTTTGGGGCCATTTGGGTTCATTTTGGTTCATTTGGGTTCATTTTCGGACCATTTTGGTTCATTTGGGTTCATTTTGGGACCATTTTGGGTCATCTTGGGTTCATTTTGGGACCATTTTGGTTCATCTTGGGTTCATTTTGGGACCATTTTGGGTCATTTGGGTTCATTTTGGGACCATTTTGGTTCATTTGGGTTCATTTTGGGACCATTTTGGGTCATCTTGGCTTCATTTTGGGACCATTTTGGTTCATTTGGGTTCATTTTGGGACCATTTTGGTTCATTTGGGTTCATTTTGGGGCCATTTTGGTTCATCTTGTGTTCATTTTGGGACCATTTTGGTTCATTTGGGTGCAGCCCTGGCTGGGCTCTGGTGCTGCCCAAGGTGGATCCATGGAGGAGATCCTTTCATAAATCCCTGATTTATTCCTTAGTTCTGCTCAGCCTCTGCTCCAGCTCAGCCTCCACAAGGCATCAACCCCAGTGCTGGATCATGGAATGGTGGAATTCTGGTGGGAGCCTCTCCAGTGCCACCCCTGCCATGGCAGGGACACCTCCCACTGTCCCAGCCGGGCCTTGGACACTTCCAGGGATCCAGGGACATCTGACAGAGAATCCCTTGGAATTGGTGGGAGCAGGGAGGAGAAATCCTTCAAAGGAGAAAACAGCAAACCCCTAACCCAGGCACTTCCAGTGGGGACAACGGGAAGGACAAGGAAGAGAAAAATCTCCTCCCTCAGCAGTGGACTGGGTCCTCTGTTGGCCATAATCCCCCAAAAATCAGGAAAACCAGGAAACTGCTATTTCCACATTGCCTCAACTCGCACCAAACAGGCCACGGGTGTTTTATAGTTGGGAAATGTGGAATCTCAGCAGCTGGAGCTGGAAAATCCCTGCGGAGTCACGTCCTGCCAGGACACCTCATCCTGAGCCAGCATCCCGTGGGATCCCACAGCTCCTCCCAGAGCCGCACACGGAGCCCTTCCAGGACTGCTGAGGGTGTTCAGGAGGTCCAGGTGGGATTCTGGGGACAATTCCTTCATGGAAAAGCTCTGGAAAAGGCTGCCCAGGGAGGTTCGGAGTCCCCAGCCCTGGGGAAGATTTCAAAGCCATGTGGATGTGGCACTTGGG